ACCTCCAAGAAGGAAATGAGCATGGAATGGAACCTGGTGCTGGGTTGTGTGATCATGAGTGGGCGTTGTTTCAGCCGTTCAGGAAGAAAGCGATTGAGCCAAAAATCCTGAAATTTCCATGAATTGCAGTTCATGTTCCCTGCCATCCGTTAACGATACTTTCAAACCGGGGTTTCGTTTCCACCATTTAGTGATCAGAACTCTCAGTGATGATGAGAGCAGCTCGAGTTCTCCATGCCTAGAGCTCGCAGCCTGGGAGCCAAGTAACAACAGTGGGCCCCCCAACGGGCAATGGCAATAGTGTCAACTCCGTCCAGGGGATTGATGTCCCAGCATTTGTTCTTCGGTGCCTTCAATCTGCCGATGAGTATTGCATTTCATCTACAGAAAGCCTCATGAGAAAATCCGGTTCACTCGCGTTGTTTGATCGCTGTAGAGCTCCCACCAGCCAGCTGCCTGAACTCTTTTAGGCATGCCCGTTCTCAATAGCGATCGAATGCGACAATGATGTGAGCAGTGAGCCTCAGTTGAGTGTCGTGACGAGAATCGAACGGGATCAAATCCTTCGTGGCCTTTTCTATCGAGGAGTACCTGACAATAAGTCCGACATGAACGCACACATCTTCACGGCTGACTATTTTGGAATGATGATTGTCAACAACAAAAAGGTGAATGTTTTTTCTTCAATTGCAATTTGTCAGTAGTTGAGCGGGAACCTCTGCTAATTACTTGTTCCAGGAGGGTGAAAAGAAAACTTACCGAGTGGAAATCGTCGAAGAACAGAACATCAAATGGAACTTCCTCCACGGACGTGACGATATCGACCCGACAACTTGCGGTGAATGGGTAAGTCGCACACCAAGGCCACTCCATTTCCGGGGTCAATTTGCTTTTCGGGAAGCACATGTCGAGGTTAGAGATTGACAAATTTCCCCCTCAATGACCTCCGAAAATAATGTTGCTGTAAGTGAGAAGAAAAGGAAAATACCGCTCGCACTCACGACCGCGTTGTCCAGTGAGGTGAGAGAAGCCCTGACTTTGGTCTTTGCTCCGTACTGATTTCGCTGTACTCCGACTACTTCCCTTGAACAACATTCACCATTTACCGGTTGCCTGAGCCTTAACGGCACGTGCCACAGTAGTCGATTGATGCGCGTGAAAATTGGAAGTAAGCGCAAATGAAACCGATGCTCTACCCGAAGCGCTTTTTTAGCACCTGTG